CCCACCCGCCAGTCCAAGGACTCTCACAATCTCAGCAAACAGAAAAATTCCCTTGCGGGTGCGCCAGAAGTTGGTGCAGGCGGCCCAGCAGCCGGGGGCCGAGAAGCGGTCGGAATCCGCCATGGCGTGGGCCAGAGTCCCCAGGGGCGCGAAGGATCTGCTCGCTTTCTCGCGGGTTCGAGGACACTGCACACCCAGCCGTCTTGCCCGACGTTAGGCCGGGAAGGGGGCCCTGAGGCGAAGGAGGGAGTGAATCACCCAGAGAAGCAGAAGCGGGCGGGGCGTGAGGGGGCCGGGCCANAGCCCCCTGGCCCCGCCCGCCAGGGATAGTCCCCACCCGGAGGACAGCCACCGAGACGCCCCATCTGTGGAGGCGCCAGCTTTTGAGGCTTGGCACTTCGGGGTACCTTGAACGGTAATGGCGAGACCCTTTGCCCTTTTAGAAATACAAAAGCTCCCGGGGTTGCCTCAACTCAGAACCGAGGGGAGCTTGCCTTTGGGAGTGACTCAGTTTCCTTAGCTGTAAAAAAATAAAAATAAAAAATGGTCGAGGTCTTGGTGAAACCCAGGTGTTTCCAGATTCGGAATATTTTTAATTTTGGAAAATTTTCCCAGTGCATATATGGTATATTACTTAACACTCATTGGGGGGTGAGGCTGCCTTTTTGTGTGTGTGTGTGTGTGTGTGTGTGTGTGTGTGTGTGTGTGTGTGTGTTTTAAAGCACGTCAATATTTCCTCAAGTAAAGGCGTGGGCGTTCACAATAAATGGAATAAGCTAGGACAGAAAATTGTGCCTCATTAAGTCAGGTCAGATTTTGTAACAAATGATTCCAAATTGTGGGAAAACTGTTGGTTTCCAGAGCTTTGGGGGCTTTGGAATTGCAGATAAAGGATCATGGATGGTGGAATAAACCTCTTAGCAATGATGGGAATCAGACTGCTGTGGTGCACAGGCCGAGAGAGAACAGGGCCTGGTGAGCATCAAGCTGCTCAGTAAATGGGGCAAACATTATTAATAGTGTCAGAGCCCAAGGTCTGTCTGATACTCCTAGGCAAGTCCAGTTTTCTGGTTGTGAGGAAAAGGGCTGTCAGCCCAGCTCTAGATGAAGAATGGAAAAGGAACACAGGTTTTATTGCTGGGAGCGTGGCAAGATGAGGGGAAGGCTCCTGGGATGCCAGGTTGGGTGACAAGGCTGACAACATTTGGAGTGTGTTGCTCTCAGCAAGTAATTTCTCCTGACTCAGCCTGGGTTTCTGCATGAGACAGGCGCCTGGTTATGGGAATCTGGACCTCCCCGAGATGTGCTGGGGGCACACTCTCTAGATGGCATATTGGTTTTATTCTCATCTCATTTGAGAAGGGGAGAGTCCTGGCTGGAAAGCCAGGATAGTTCAACCCAAAGGCTTTCCCACTCTTTATCCCTTAGCCCCAGGCCCCTCGAAACCAAAGAAGGGGCTCCCTTCTTTCAGCCCAGTGAAAGAGTGATTGGCTAGTGGAAGGGATGAAGCATACTTTCCCAGTGCTCAGTGTGTGCTTTCCCACTGTGTGAAGACATGCTTGAGTTTCTAGAACATAACATACTCTGCTCTGCATTACGGCCTTTGCACTTGATGTTTCTGATGCTGTCAATGCCTTTCCCCCAGTTCTTTATACATCTGGCTTCTGGTCATTCAGGTCCCAGCTCAAATGTTATGTCTCCAAAGAGGCCAGCAACCCACCATAATTACCTTCCCCAACATAACCTCCTCTTGCTTTCTTCAAAACTCTCACTTCTTCTGATATTCATTTTCTTGTCTGTTCTGACATGTCTACCCCCCAATACATGAACTACACAAGGATAGAATCTTTGTTTTCCCCCCAGCATCTCCCCAGTGCCTATCACACACAGTACAAGGTAAACAGTTGGAGTCAATTAATACTTGTCAAATGCAGGTGAGATTAAGGCTTGGGAATCAGGCCTTGATTAAATCTTGCTTTGACACCCCACCCCATCCCCAGGTATATCTACTCTTTGGGCCTCATTTTCCTCCTCTGTGAAATGGACATAGCATATAGATGTGTAACTGGATGGAAATAGTGCAGGTGAAGCCAGTAGCAGAGATAAGGCTAAGTAAATGGCTTGGATTACTATTATTAGTCTCCTGAACTGAGTTCAGGAGCCCTCTCCTTACTTTTGTAGAGCCACACCTCCACCAAGCTGAGTCAGGAGCAGTGCACTCCCCCACAATGTCTACAGTGCTAATCATTCAAGGGTTCACTTCACCTCTTTATACCCTAACTCCCAGACTAGCTTTTCAGTCCTTCTCTCCTCCCCAGCACCACCTTGGATGCTCACACTCTGGTCCTTTAATTTCTTTACCCACTCTCAGTCCCTCCCCATAGGGGTGAAAATTGCCCACTAACCACAGCTTCCCTCGTTGGGGAGATGGGGCCAAGTGTTCAGGATGTGGTGACAGTGAAGGTGACTGGCCATATCTGGCCTCAACCAGCCCCGGCTTCAGGGCTACCCAGTTTGGAGTACAGATGGTCATATAAGCCTGGTCTTTAGGGCTCCATTCCCAGGATGGAGGAAACTCTGGCCTCTCCCAGGACCGGGAACGCCCAGCGTGTGGCGTGTGCACACAAGCCCTGCTGCAGTTCGTCACCATCTATGGAAGAGGGGGGTGCAGCCCAAAGGTTCTAACAGCTTTTTTTAGCCAGACCCGCTGACTCACACCTTCCCTGCTCCGCCCCAAAGGGGCCCCAGGGCCCCAGCCCTTGCCCTGAGTGTGTCAGTACGGAAGTGAAAGACCGCAGGCTCCTGGCGAAGGAAGCCACCGGGCTTCTAGCCCTGCTATCCGGCAGGCCGCCGAGAGTCTGGATGATTCAGGGCCAGGGCGGTGGGTATACTGGTGTACTCTCGCCACAACAGGCCCACTTCTGCATTCCCCACGCCAGGCGCAATAGTTATCTGGGCCTTGAACCCCTCCAAAAAAGTGAAATTAATGAATGGGTTGAGAAGCAGGAGTTGGCAAAGAGAAATTGAGTGGAGAGAAAGCAAGCCGGACTGAAGACGTGCAGAAAGCAAAGAAACAGTACTTGTCAGTGGTTGCAAGAAGAGGCCCTTCTCAAAACCGGATTGACCCTCCTCCTCCTTTACCGGGTGGACTTGGTTGAGCCCCACCCGGCCTAGAGCACCTGGCAAGTCAAGACGGATCAGACTGATTTATTACCTTCCCCGCCTGAAACAAGAAGCGCCGGCTGGCAGGTCAGGGAGGGCGGTACCACTGACACTACAAGGGGAACGCGGGCTGGTCGAATGAACATCAGGAGGGGGGACAAGGCCAAGTGGTAGTTTTGCTTGCGATGCTAGTGCGCTGGCTGACGGAGTACGTCAGATCCAGGTGGGGCGGTACCAAGTAAGCACCTAGCCGTCACTTGACGCTCAGTGCCTCCGCCTTCCAGCTGCCATCTCCAGGGCGAGCTGCGTGGCCCCCGGGACACCTAGGGCCTGCGAGAGCCGTTCCTCGCTCGGCACCAGCCAGGGTCCCGGGGAACCCAGGGATCGGTCGTCCGGATCTTCCGTGCGGCGCTCAGGAGGAGGAACCGCAAGGCCGTCTGCTGCCCCCTCTGGGCTACGCTCTGGGCTGTCCCGGGTCTTGGGCGTCGTATGGGATTGAGGGTGCTGAAGTGGGGAAGCGCTGGCGCTACGAGGTCTCGTCACCTCTGATCCCTCAGGATCTGGGCTGCGATCTAAGGATGGTAGGAATGCAGATTAGATTGCCTGACAGGGTGGGGTACAGAGAGCTGGGCCCCCTGGCCAAGGGTGGCCAGAAGACTCTAAGTGCTGAGGAAGACAGAGACCCCGCCCCTTATAAAAACCTTCCATCAAGGCCTGGACATGTCCTTCAGGAACAGACACTACCCCTCAGGACACCCAGCACCTCCTTTCCAGAGACCTCGCCCCTCCTGGATCCAGAACACGCCCTTCAGAAATTATTTCCCACAACCCCCAAAGGAAATCAAACCCTTAGCCTCCTGATGCCAAACCCCTCCTATCTAAGTCCCCAAACTCTCCCACTGCACAACACCTCTCTCTACTCCCAACCCTTTCCCTTATCAACCCTTGTCTTTAGGAACTAGAACCCCTATCCTCTGCATCTCCATCCCCTTCCCTCCCCTCTAACCTCACTCAGTCTTCCCCTCCAAGGTCAATGACCCTTCTGAACATCTGCTTTTACCCCAGACCCCTTCCTTCCTTCCTCTTCCCAGTACTCCAAAGCCCTTCCCTCTGAAATCCACTGGGTCCCTCCCTTACCCACCCCCACTTATAAGAATTCAATGACCCCCTCATAGACATCAAACCCTCCCCACTGAGACCACCAAATCCTTCTCATCCAGGACCCCAGCCTCTCTACTCTTCCACCCTCTCCTTACAGATCCTAGGCCCCTCTCCCCTGGAAAACCCACCATCTCCTTTCTGGGGTCCTCCCCCTCTCTCAGGCTTGCTGGGGTGGGTCTCAAGAGGTCTGCTCAGCAGGAGGTGGAGCCGAGGGCCTCCTGTGCGAATCCGCTGCACGACCTGGGCATGGGTGAGACCCTGAGTTGGCTCTCCATTGACTTGAAGCACAAGGTCACCAGCCTGTAACAGTACAAGGTGAAAGATGCTGTAGGAAGGGCAGATGGAGAGCACCCTGGCAAAGGATGAGGTCGGGGCTCACCTGCAAGCGACCGCACTGCTGTGCTGGCCCATCCTTCAGCAGCCCTCGTACTGCCAGTGGAGCATCCCTGGCTGCATCTCGGCCTCCACTTAGTGTGAGGCCAAAGCCTGCAGAACCTCGAACCAGCTCCACAGAGAAACGACCAGAGGCCTGGGGTGGCTTCGAAACACAACGTGCCTTAACCTGAGTCACTTGGGGTGGCGCGGTACATGTACCCAAGGTCACTGGCTGATGATGCTGGAGTAAGGACACAAGTGTACGTACATTGCCAGTCTCAAGGCAGAGGCAGGTGGCCTCGATTAGGAGGATTAGGTGGTACCTGGAGCCGGTGTTCCACAAAAGTGGGATTAGGCAGGCGACTGTCAGTGACCTCTATGTCCGCAGAATCCATCTCACTAATGGCTGGGAGATGAAAGAGGGAATCCCAGGTTGAACTCCATGTAAACTACCTAGGTCCTGCCCCGTGACTTGCCATTCTAGCCTCATCTCATTGACTTGCTTCTAGACTGCACAGGCAGAATCGCCCACTCATTTAATCTCCACACACTCAAATAACTGTCCTGATCCCAACTTCTTAAATAATAATCCTGGGATTGGCTATTTGAATGATCTTCCATACCTTTCTACCTCCCTCTAATTACATGCAGTCATTGTACCTCAAATAAACCATAGGTCCACCTTGGAGGGTGCAATCCCAGGATTTGACTCCCAAACATTCCAGGCTTCACCCTCTAATAGCCTATAAATCTCAACCAATCCTGACATTTCCAGACCCCCACAATGCATTTATAGGCTCCACCTTCTACACCAGCATTCCAGGCCCTCCCTTAACTAAGTGCCCGCTGTCAACATTCTCCAGGCCCTGCTTCCTCAGGAATGACATTCAAAGACTCCCTGACAGGCAAACCATCCATCCTCGTACCCTCAACTAATCCTACAACACTCGCCTACTGCAATAACCCTCTCAGTGTCACCTCCTAGAGGAATATGCTAAGTTAACTCCAAGGCCCAGCCTCCTCCAATTTCCCTCCAAGCCCGGTCCTCCTAACTCACACCCGCCACCTCAGAACTCAGCTGCAGTTCGCCCCTGCCCCTCCCGGAGAGGCCCCGCCTCCGACACCCACCTTCTTTGTGGCGCAGGCCCAGTGTGGCCCCCGCCCTGCGTACCAGCGCAGCCATGTCGGCCGCAGCTCTGGCCGCCAGGGGGCGCGCGTCCAGCCGCGCCAGGAGTTGCCCCGCCTTGCGGCCCCCAGGCTGCGGAGCTCCGCGGCCTGAGAGGGAGGGGGCGGGGAAAACAGGTCAGTGCAGACCCCGAGCCTCCGAGAACCCCCACACTCCCCGACGTCCGAGGACCTAGAATGCCCCTCAGAACCACTCTCGCGATAGTTCCGGAGGTAGCTGACTGTCTCTCTCATCTCCCGCGAGCCCCAGCCATACGAGCATGGACCCCCACCGGCCTCCACGATATCCCTGGAGACAACTACTTGACCGCAATATTCCTGGACACTCCGAAGACCCTGTGATTATCTCTGGAACTCTCCAACTGCCTCATTCATCACCCCCGATTCCAAACTCTTACTCCCACAATATCGAGAGGGACCCCGATTTCCCCAGATGTCCCAAGAGAACACGGACTGCCCTCCGTGGCCCCGGGACTCCCGACTCACCCTCCAGATAACCTAGGCAATCCTCGAAGCCCACGCCGTAGCCCCAGATTGCCCCTTCACTTATCCCCAGAGGCTCCCGCCTAAGCCCCCGCAATTCACCATAGACCCTGAGTGGCTAGGTGTCCCCAGTGACCCGGACAGATCCCTCCGGCCCATCTCCCCGGAGACTCCTGAGAGCCCCCGGAGCTGGTGCGCAGCCCCGTGGCGCGGGTGAGGATGCAGGCGTGGGTAGGGGGCCTGGAGCTCAGTCCCGGTCGCTGCGCCCCTGCCTGCCGCCGCCGCCCGGTACCAGGCTGACTTGTTTACCACCTGTCTGAAGGGAACCGGAAGGAGCAGACAGGCTGGGCGAGGTGTGGTGAAGACGTGCCCACCCCACCCCCACCCAGTACCTCCTCTGCTCCCCCTAGGGTCCGTGGCGCCCCCCGCGCGTGGCTCCATGACCCAGAGTCGCCCGGGTGGACGCACAGCCGCCAGCGACGCGTTTTGAGCGCCCGCGCGCACTCACCTGGCTGCCCGCCCAGCCTGGACGCTGTGAGGCCGGCCTGTTCCGTGCCTGGCGCCCCAGCCCTCTCGGTGACCTACCTGGCGGCCAGCAAGGAGGCCTGGCTGTGGGCGCCAGCGCTTGGCCTCGCTCTGCCTTCAGTCTGGATCCAACCCTGCCAGCATTCTCGGTGACCTGAGCACCGCTCCCTCAACCTCAATCCTTGTTACTGTTCCCAGAATTGCAGCCCTGCTGGCATGGCTCTCTGAGAACCCCCACCCATCCCTAGGGCCCCTGCCCCTACAATTCATCCCTGAGGCTGTCCTTGGATTCCCCATTCCTTCACAAAATCCCCCAGGACTAAGCATCTCCCAGTCTGGAAGAAATTCCTCATTTGCAGGCCCCTGAGCACCCATCCAGTTGGCAAGCTCCCTGCCCCATTTCTGAAGTATGGAGGCCTCCTAGTGTTTGGCAGCCTCCCCTCACATCCACAATTCTGGCCTTTCAATAATGTCACAGTCTGCAAGTCCATCCCGTTCAGGGATCTACAAAGCCTGAATCTCCTGTTCCCCAGTCTGTAAGAACCTCCCTACTCCATCCACCAGTTCAGGAAACCCCCAGCCCAGGAATGGAAGCTGCCCTCTTCATCTGCAGTGCTTGAAATCTTGAGAATGGGGTGGAGCAGTGAAGGAGGTCCAGTGTGTCCCCCCTCAGACAAGGTCAGGTCAGAGGTGGGAGAGGCAGGGGACTGCAGGAGGAATGAAAGCAGAGACCATTCAGCCCTTTTCACCTATGACCTGCAAGGAGACTCAGAAAGGTGTGTCTCAGAAAGATGGATGAGAGAGGATGCCAAGCCAGCCAGAATGGACGTCTGGACATATTGCATCCACAGCCCATAGTGAAACAGTCACAGATCAAGTGAGTGTTGGGGATAAGCTGCCTGAGATGGGTACTGTTGTCACCTGGCTGCTGGGTCCTGGGCAGGTGCCTGAGCCCGTCCAGCCCTCAGTTTCTTCCTCCAAAAAGTGGTAGTCACACACTGTCTCTCATTGTTCCCCATTCCTCTTTCCAATACAGTAGCACTGTGCCCAAGTGCTCCCCCTCTGGGGCCTATGTCCCCAGACACCCCCCACTTTTTCAAACCCAGGAAGAGCCTCATTTCTCCCCTATCATTGGCTGGTGTCCCTCCAATGGGGGGACACACCCAGGTGCTTTCTAAACATTCTCAAGTCCAGCCCCGCTAGGCCATGGCTCAGCGGTTGAGCATCGACCTAGGATCCAGGCGATCAGGGTTCCATGCCCGGGTGTGGGCTCAATCAATGACTCTCTCATCATTTATGTTTTTGTCTCTCTCTCTCTCCCTCTCCTTTCCTCTCTCTGAAATCAATAAAGATATATTTAAGACAAACAAACAAAACATCCTCAAGTCCAGGACCCTGTCACCTCTCCACTCTCCAACTGGCCTGCCCTTCAACCCTATCGGGCTCAGGGCACTAAGCTCTCACATGGCCCCAAAGGTTCCAAGGGCAGCCCCTCCCCAGCCCACCAGTTCTCCAGTCGGGATTGGCAGATATTCACTGCAAATTTACTGAGTGCCTACTATGTGCAAAGCAATGTTGGAGGTTGCAGAATTCCCATGTAACTTGGGCTCCAGTTCTGCATCCTGCCTTTAGGCGTCAGGGCTCTGGCAGGGTCCTTAACTTCTCTGGACCTCCACTTCCCCTTCTCACACGTGGAATAACAACGTCCCCTGGGTGAAAGGAGGAGCCCAGCAGAGGGTCAGGAATAACAGACGCACTCCGGAGGTAGAGAGAGGCCAAACGCTGGCGCCCACAGCCAGGCCTCCTTGCTGGCCGCCAGGTAGGTCACCGAGAGGGCTGGGGCGCCAGGCACGGAACAGGCCGGCCTCACAGCGTCCAGGCTGGGCGGGCAGCCAGGTGAGTGCGCGCGGGCGCTCAAAACGCGTCGCTGGCGGCTGTGCGTCCACCCGGGCGACTCTGGGTCATGGAGCCACGCGCGGGGGGCGCCACGGACCCTAGGGGGAGCAGAGGAGGTACTGGGTGGGGGTGGGGTGGGCACGTCTTCACCACACCTCGCCCAGCCTGTCTGCTCCTTCCGGTTCCCTTCAGACAGGTGGTAAACAAGTCAGCCTGGTACCGGGCGGCGGCGGCAGGCAGGGGCGCAGCGACCGGGACTGAGCTCCAGGCCCCCTACCCACGCCTGCATCCGCACCCGCGCCACGGGGCTGCGCACCAGCTCCGGGGGCTCTCAGGAGTCTCCGGGGAGATGGGCCGGAGGGATCTGTCCGGGTCACTGGGGACACCTAGCCACTCAGGGTCTATGGTGAATTGCGGGGGCTTAGGCGGGAGCCTCTGGGGATAAGTGAAGGGGCAATCTGGGGCTACGGCGTGGGCTTCGAGGATTGCCTAGGTTATCTGGAGGGTGAGTCGGGAGTCCCGGGGCCACGGAGGGCAGTCCGTGTTCTCTTGGGACATCTGGGGAAATCGGGGTCCCTCTCGATATTGTGGGAGTAAGAGTTTGGAATCGGGGGTGATGAATGAGGCAGTTGGAGAGTTCCAGAGATAATCACAGGGTCTTCGGAGTGTCCAGGAATATTGCGGTCAAGTAGTTGTCTCCAGGGATATCGTGGAGGCCGGTGGGGGTCCATGCTCGTATGGCTGGGGCTCGCGGGAGATGAGAGAGACAGTCAGCTACCTCCGGAACTATCGCGAGAGTGGTTCTGAGGGGCATTCTAGGTCCTCGGACGTCGGGGAGTGTGGGGGTTCTCGGAGGCTCGGGGTCTGCACTGACCTGTTTTCCCCGCCCCCTCCCTCTCAGGCCGCGGAGCTCCGCAGCCTGGGGGCCGCAAGGCGGGGCAACTCCTGGCGCGGCTGGACGCGCGCCCCCTGGCGGCCAGAGCTGCGGCCGACATGGCTGCGCTTGTACGCAGGGCGGGGGCCACACTGGGCCAGCGCCCCTAGTACCCCGCGTGTCGTTGTTCCCCACTGGTCTACGAGCGTCTCAAGAGGAGGAAGAAGAGGTCTATTTTATTTATATTTGAATCCAGAGCTTGTCGAGTGTTAAATCTTGCATTATTTACATGTCCATTATTTATTATGTTACACAACTGGCATTCACAGATTTTTTTAAAAAAATATATCTTTATTGATTTCAGAGAGAAGAAGGGAGAGGGAGAGGGAAAGAAAGAGAGAAAAACATTAATGATGAGAGAGTGATTGATCGGCTGCCTCTTGCACTCCCCCAGCTGGGGATCGAGTCCGCAACCTGGGCATTTGCCCTGACCGGGAATTGAACCGCGTTCCTAGGTCGATGCTCAAGCTCTGAGCCACGCCGCCCGGCCAGATTTTTTCTTTATTTATCTTACCTATACTTCCCACACCAGTAGGGCACAGTAACGTGCACACAGCAGGCGATCAATAAATACTTGTCAAATACCTACACGAAGAAATGAATACCTGTAATAGTTTGGCAAAGGCCTGGGGCGGGGGTGGGGGGTAGAAGGGATCAGTGAGGAAGAAAATGAGACATCTGTAATTCTTTCAACAATAAAGGTAAATTTTACCTAGGATCCAGGAGGTGGCGGTTCGATTCCAGGTCGGGGTACATACCGGTGTCGCGGGCTCCACCCCAAGTCGGGGGCGTGCGGGAGGCAGCCGATCAAAGACGACTCTCTCATCCTTAATGTTTCTCTCTTCCTCTCCCTCTCCCTCTCCCTTCCTCTCTCTGAAATCAATAAAGATATATTAAAAATTAAAATTAAAAAAAAAAAAAAGAATCAGGCCACCTCTTACCACGTCTACCTTCCTGATGAATTACATTTCTCTGTATGCTAGGCGCTAGGCGCTTCGCTGAAGTGAAAGAGCTTCCCACGGCCCCTTACGCGACTACGCCTGTCAATGCCGCAGTATTTTATGGGAAAGGTAGTTCTAGGGCTCATCCTCTGGCCCCGGGCAAGCTGAGCCCAAACTAAACTTCCCAGCAAGCAGCGCACCGGCCTGGGAAGAGGGGCAAGATGGCGGACGCCGAGGAAAGTGTTTCTCGGCCGGCGGGACCCTCTGCTGCCCCAGTTTCGTTCAGCTTCAGTCGTAGGGCCGCCCGAAGACGGCTGGCCGACCAGGGAGACGACCCGGGTGGCCCTCCGGAAGAGAAGGATTTCTTGAAATCCGTGGAAGGGAGGAAGTTGCAGAGGTGAAGCTCTGGGTCTTTCATCTCTCAGAAATCGGTGCGGTGAGCGCAAGCGGGAGGGTGCATGTGAGTTATCTTAGTGACAGTGGCCTGGAAAGCCTGAGTACTGAATGAGGAAATTCGTGGAGGCGAGAAGGCGGGAGTTTGTAGACAGGAGAAATTGAGCCTGATGGCGGTGGGGATTCACAAGCGAGAATACATCCTGAGAGGGAGTGTCTTTAGGATTTGGAAACCCTGAGGTGTGTGGGTTATGAAAGAAGGAAAGGAGGGGAGAATGACAGGACCCCTAGTGTCTCAACTGAATCGGCTTCTCCAATATGGGGAACGGGATGGAGCGGCAGATTGAGGTTGGGGGAGGCCATAATCGGCTTAATTCGGAAAGGAGAGAGTCTGAGGGAAGGACTTCCAGAAGAGAATCAGCCTTCGGGAGGCGGGTGTGGAGCTTGGAGCTCCAGAGAGAGTCTGGACTGAAGATGATGATTTGTTGGTCATTGTGGAAGCCAGGGACTGAGGACTGATTCCTCGAAGGAATCAGTTGGGGGTGGAGGAAAGAATCCAAAGAAGGCACCATCAGAGATATAATTGGATAAGTAGGCAGAACAGAGAGAGTGGTCCATGGGACTGGGGGTGAGTTTGGCTCTTGTGTTTTCTCTGAATGAAGGGGTGTGGCTCAGCACCCACTGACCATGCTACTCTCCCAACTTCATCCCTCCGTGTCCACATCAGTGTGAATCCCTCAGAAGCCCCCAAGGAACTCGTCATCCCTTTGATCCAGAATGACCCTCGAAGACAGCTGCCAGTCCAGGCCCCTGGCCCAAACACAGATATTGAGGCCATTGGGGATGGGATGCTGTCCCAGGCTGTGAAGGAGCTCATTGAGGGTGAGTGATCCCCCTTTGCCTTGCCCCAGTGAAGGAAGAATGGTAGGAAAGTGGAACGGTATGGTGGGACCTCATTGCTCCCTCCCATTCTTCCTTAGAATCCAAGAAGTCCCTGGAGGAAAGAGAAAATGCGGGTGTCGATCCCACGCTCGCTATCCCCATGATCCAGAAAAGATGCACCCCCAACGAGGAAGGGGCAGGCAGCGAACCCCGGGCTGAGACAGTGAGCTGGCCCCTCCACCCCTCCTGCCCCAGCCTCTCTTTTCCCTATCTGCCAGGCTTGCCTTCCTGCACAGAGCAGGGGAAGTCTGTATGTGTACTAGAGGCCTGCTGCCTATCCCTTTCTCCTACCATCCCTTGCAGTGTTTGAGGAACACCAAAGAGACTGATGTAACTGGACTGGAATGAGTGAAGGGGAGGGGTAGTAGATGAGGTCAGAAATGGGAGCTAAACCAGGCAGTCCCTGTGGGTCATGGTGAAGACTTTGGATTTATTCTGAATGAGAACCATGAGAGGGCTCTGAGCAGAGAAGGGACAAGACATGATTTGACAGGATTTCTCTGGATCCTGTGAGCAGAACAGACTAGTAAGTAGAGATGGGAGCAAGGAGACCAATAGTCCAGGCTAAAGATGATGGAGACTGAGACCAGAGTGGTAGGAGTGAGACTTGGAAGGACAGGTAGGGTTTAGTGAGAAAGGGAAGAGCAGTGTGAGTACTCCTAATGACAGCAACAACCCAGACAGTGGCATGATAGCAGGAAATTGATGTGGTATGTGTCCGACAGTGAGGCAACTTGTGTGTCTGGAGTGAGTATAAAGAATTGAGGGAGTGGTTATGGGAGGTGAGACCATGAGAGACAAGGGTTGTGCTTACAGAAGTAACCAACTATGTCTTTCATACCCATGGACCCACTTTTTACCTCTTCATTCACAATTTTTTTTGCAGTGCTTCTTTGGCTTTTTTGTTTTTAAATTTTTATTTATTGATTTTAGAGAGAGAGGAAAGGAGAGAGAAAGAGAAAAGGAGAAACATTGTGTTGTTATTTCACTTATTTATGCATTCATCGGTTGATTCTTGTATATGTCCTGACTGGGGATCAAACCCACAACCTTGGCATAACTGGACGACAGTCTAACCAACTGAGCTACTCCACCAGGGCTGCAGTGCTTTTTTAGGGCCTAGTTTTCTTACAGCCCCAGACCACCATCTCTTTTGACTGAACTCTTCTCATCAGCCTTCAGATGTTCTCTGGTTTCTTTCATTATAAAAAGAAAAAAAGGCTTTCACTTCGCTCTCCATCCTGTTCTAGCTTTGGCCTCATTTCTCTTGTTTTCCCTCCTCTCTCAGCCTTCCACATCTCACTTGAACAGAGTTCCATCCATCCTTCTTCTCACTCAGCCTAAAAACCATATCATCACCTTTGACTCCCCTCCATTTCATGCTCCATATACAATCTGTCAGCAGAATCCTGTCTCCCTTTTCTTTTCTTTTTAATCCTCATTCAAGGATATTTTTTCCATTTCTTTTCAGAGAGAGTGGAAGAGAGGGAGAGAGAGAGAAACATTGATGTGAGAGAGACACATTGTTTGCCTCGCGCACACACCCCAACTGGGGCCAGGGATCGAGCCTGCAACCAAGGTATGTGCCCTTGGCTGGAATCGAACCTGGGACCCTTCAGTCCATGGGTTGATGCTCTAACCACTGAGACAAACCAGCTAGGGTCTATCATCTCCCTTTTCAAAATACATCTAGAATCTGACCACTTCACCTCATCACCACTACTAGCACGCTGGTCTGAACCACTAGCATCTCTCATCTGAACTATTACAATTACTTACTAGCTGTCCCCCTTGGGGCTGCCACCCTCTTGTGACTCCTGCCTAGCTCTTTTAATTAATTTCTTACCACCTCTCTCTGCTTCCACATCTCTGTTTCAGTTAGGTTGACTTTCATGATGCTTTTCACACAGCCTCAGGGCCTTTGCTGTTTACTGTTCTCTCTGCTTGCAACACCCTTCCTTCTTATATCTTCATGGTGCCCTGTTATTTCCTTCTGGTCTCTGCTCAAAATATTAACTCAGTGACACTCCCTTCTTCATCTTTCTCATCTCCTTAACCTGCTTTATTTTCCTTCATAGATCTTATCACCACCTGACATATCATGTCTTATGTATTTTACTTCTGACTCCTACCATTAGAACATAAACCCTGCAAGGTCAGGAGTTTTTGTGTTTTGTTCACTGCTTTATCCTGGCACTCAATAGGTACTTTGTAAATATTTGTTGAAGGACTGAAGAGGAGGAGTAAAGTAAGGGATGGCAAGAGGAAATCAAAAGTTATCCTTAAGCTGACTGGAAAAGAAGCATTGAGGGTCACCCAGTAGGTGATAGCAAATGCACTTCAGAGGGCCTGCTACCATAAGCAAAGCCTGACTGCCCTTCCTCCTCCTGAACCCATAGGTGCCCAAGGAGGCCGATTACGAGGCAGTCCCTGTGGAGGCCTACGGGCTGGCCATGTTGCGGGGCATGGGCTGGAAACCTGGCCAGGGCATCGGCCGCACCTTCAATCAGTGAGTTCTGGTATAGGACCATGGGGACAACAGACAGGGCAGTGAACAAGACCCCTGCGGTTATCGCCCACCCAGGACCATCTGGGCATGGGAAGAGCACATTACCACCCTAACCAATTCAGTATCTGCCACTACTGTTTCAAACTCCTATTTGCCCTTTGAAACTCCATAATTAGATCCCATTTATGGAAAGCTTGCCTCTCTGGGCATCATCTTCCTTATCTGAAAAATGGGAATAATAACAGCATTGACTTCCCAGGTCTATTGTGAGAATTAAGTGATATTATACATCACTTAATGTAAGTATTCCTCAGTAGGAATACCTCAGTAGGTGCTGGCCCCAAATAAACATAGACTAGACATTTGCTATTATCACACAGACTTATAATCCCTTCTTCACAGTTCTAAACTCCAAAGAATTCTGAAACCACTTTTTTCATAAACCCTTTGGCAGCCAAATGTGACCTGAATTGACATTGTGTTTCATAGTGTGTTTCTCCTGCTTGATGTGAATACTTGTATGATTTCCCCTGTAGAAATATTAGTGTATTTGGTTATACTATGGATACTATGTAATAGATGGCACATATAGCATGCTATTAGGTTGAATCAAATGAAATTGCCATTTCTGAGATGAGGAAGACATATACTCTTGAACATTTTGAAAGGGTGGGATTTGGGTAGGAGTTGCACTGAAGACCATTATATCCCCCAAGAAGCCCATATTTTGTGCTCCCTACAGAGTGGTGAAGCCCCGTGTCAACTCACTGAGACCTAAAGGGTTAGGACTGGGCGCCAACCTAGCTGAGGTCCAGGCCCTTGCCCCCACTGGCCCCCACCGCTTGCCAAGGCCAGGTGAGGAGCGTGAGAAGGATAAGGAAGACAAGCCTCAAGGACTGGTACCTGGAGGGGCTGTGGTGATTCTTTCTGGCCCTTACCGAGGTCTGTATGGGAAGGTAAGGAACCAAGACAAGCAGCAAAAAAGATTGATGTGAGGGTCAGAACGAAGAAGAATTGAGTTTGGGGTAGAAAGGCTGGAAGTCCTTGTCTTTTAGGCCTTCCCGGCTCATTGCCTTATTTGGTAACTCAGGACCACTTACTGGGCCTTTCTGAGCCTCAGTTTCTAAATAAAGGGGAGAGAATGCCATATACCACAAGTGCCTAAGGATTAAATGCTTAAAATATGTTCAAACCCCACAGTCTGGTGGGGGCCACACAGGGACTAGGACTAGTCCCAGCCCGCAGGGGACACAGTCTGGTAGGGAAGACAGAGGAGCCAGTAGAAGTCCCAGACTTCAGGGTCAAAGTCAGCTGGGAGAGACACAAGGACCAAGCCTGGTCCCCACTCTCAGGGGTCACAGTCTACTGGGGGAGACACAGGGGTCAGGCCAATTAGAGGTAAGGGTAGACAGCTTGTTCCTAGAAATGTGGGTCGAGTCCACTCAACCTTTGCCTAACTTCTTCCTCCCAACACTTTAGGTGGAAGGCCTCGATCCTGACAATGTTCGGGCCATGGTTCGTTTGGCTATGGGGAGCCGCATGGTGACTGTTAGTGAGTACTGCCTACGGCCTGTCTCCCAGCAGGAATTTGACAAGAACTCCTTGAATCCCAGTGAGTGAGCCTCTTACCTAGCTGGGGGAGTTGGAGAAGCATTCCTGGGAATGATAAGGCCTGTCTCGGGCAGGAAGGGGGAGGTGTTAGATCTACAGAGGGGAGGGGCAGTGGTGAGAATGGAGATAGTAGTTTGTTCAGTTTGATTAAAGAAAGGTTGATCTAGTAACCCTGAGTCTTTAGCCTCTTTCTGAAGCAGAAGAAACAGGTGTGAAAATCATTTTCTACCCTCAGGAGCTCTTTGTCTGTTTAGGGTGATGAACCCCCCTTTTGCTAGAGAGTGAAAACAGCTAGGACTAAGGCATAACTGGGAAGGAAGGCATTTTAGGTATGTCAGTAGAATGTGACAGTTTGTCAAGTGGGAGATGGGTGCCAACAGAGCTCTCCAGGACTCCTAGCCCACACTAGGCAGTTGACTCAGGTAGGCACTGTCAGCACAGGCTGTGGTGGTTGAGGAAGGCTTTCTGAAAGAGGCTGAGACAGTTGAGAGGAAGGGGAGAGCATTCTAATAGTCCAGGCAAAGGCACGATGGTAAGAGGAGACACTTTGGTGGATGGGTGTCCTGAGGCTGAGGTGTGGCCTGGGAGGAAAGAGAGTAAGATATTGAAGATCTTTCCTGGTTCTCCCCAAACCCCCTTGAACAGGCCAGGAGAACAAAACTTCCTTAGGGAAACGGAATGGAACATCCTCATCAAGGAAGGCCTTCCAGGAGCAGGACCTTCCCACCCAGCGGGGAGTAGAAGAGAAGAAGCGGAAACGCCTTCCAGACCGGTGGGGCCCTGGGCATCTGGGATGATGGAGGAAGATAAGGGTATAGGGAGGCTCCAGCAGTCAGAGAAAGCTTCTAGGGCAAGGCAGATGCATAGAAGGAACTAGAAACGGTACTGTGGGTGGGTTTTACAGCATTGGCAAAGATGGGGCTACTGAAACGCACATCTGACTAAGCCTGGCGCCTGCCTTGTCTCCACAGACACGACGAGCCTACATCCAAGAGTGAGAAAGCAGCCTCCAGGAGTCAGCACTGGTTGCACCGGGACCTGCGTGTGCGGTTTGTGGACAAACTGTACAAGGGTGGGCAGTATTATAACACCAAGGTAGGAACCCCACAGCCTAGGTCTCCTTCCTCCCCCAGGGACGGGGTTCCCTTCACTCTCTAACATTCTCATTCCTCTGACCCTCTCTCCAGATGATGATCGAAGATGTCCTCAGCCCAGATACTTGTGTATGTCGGACAGATGAAGGCCAAGTCCTGGAAGGTGAGTGTGGGGGATGGCCACTAGGTCATTATCATCCTGGAAGCTGGTAAGAAGGCTGTCTCAGGCCAAGAGGCTGCCCAGGCAAAAGCTGGGAGGTTGGGCAGCATTAAGGTTTTTTGCAAGGCCCAGCATCCCCTAACACAACATTAGACACTTAAATCTGAGCACCACTTTCCACATCTGCAAAATTAGCATGGAAATGACCTGTTTCTTCCTATTGTGACTGATGCCTAATAAGGGTGTGTATTGAGCTCCCAATGCATGGTAAGGCTTAAACGTCTTTACAATAAGCAGTGTCTGTTATCACACCACCCATCATCATCATATATAAATGCTCCCTTTAGTATAGCTATTGCTAGGAAGTGCTCCTTAGGTTTCCTCATCTGCGAAATGGGTGTGGTAGGACTCCCGTCTGTCAACAGGGTACAGAGTGGCTCCAGGAAATACAGGAAATACCCTTCTGACAGAACCCTGGCTGGGCTGGCCCCTGGCTACAGACCTCACTTCCCTTTCCTTCTCTGCAGGCATCAGGGAAGACATGCTGGAGACTCTCATCCCCAAGGTCCAGGGCAAACGGGTGATGGTGGTGCTGGGGCCACAGGCTGGAAGGGTGAGTCCCAGATTTGGGAAGGGGGCTGGGAGCATGCAAGGGATGTCCCAGGGTCTGGGTTGGCCTAGCTGACTTCAACTGTCCCTACTCTAGGTGGGCCATCTGCTGGGCTGGAACAGAGAGCAGAGCCAGGCTGTGGTTCAGCTGCGGAGAGAGAATCGACTGGTGGAACTTCACTATGATGCTGTTTGCGAGTACATGGGCCCCACTGACTCAGACGAAGACTGATGCATGGACCCATTCCCTTCTCCGTGCAGTTACCACTATACAGTGTGAAAAGCCCACCTTTGTGAAGGTGGGGAGGTTACTATTCTGTTCTGCACTTGCATTGCAGCCCTGGGACAGGGACAGGGACAGGGCACGAAATGGATAGACCAGAAGGGAGGCTGGAAACAAACCTAGTATTTACCAGCAGTTAGTATAAAATAAAAACCATTTCAAATACTTAGTAAAATGAAGAGCTCATAAATGGTATGCTGAGCTGTGAGGAAGTGGGAGCTGCGCTGAGGTAGGAACCATTTCATTTTTCAATCCCACCACCCTGCTTGGGCTGCCAGATAATTTAAAGGATCCATTCACTCACGAGCTCACTCTCAGAACACAGAAGCTATGAAAGCTGTCCCCTAAGAAGATACTATGGAGTCTGGAACACCACATGTCTGGACAATTTCCTGAGCAAGAATCCTAGCAGTGGTTCTGCCTCTAGTCTTGGTCCAGAGCATATTGAGCCCGGTGATGGGAGTCAGGAGGAAGGAAAGCATCTACCCATGAATGGGATGTGTTAGTACTACTTTCCAGAGGAGCCAGTTAATTTTGTGGGCCCCGTTTTAGTCCCAAAACTTTGGCTTAAAAAAAAAAACGTTTGCCCTGGCCAGGTAGCTCAGTTAGAGCATCATCCCCATACGCCAAGGTTGTGGGTTCCATCCCAGGTCAGGGCACATACAAGAATCAACCAATGAAGGCGTATATAAGTGAAACAACAAATCGATATTTCTCCCTTCCTCTCTCTAAAAAATTAAATAAATAAAATTTTTTTGAAGAAAACACTTTTGTCTGTTTCAGGTAGAATTTCTCTGATTGCTCCAGGTAACTATATTCTCAAAAAGGTTACTGTCAAAAAAATCCTCAAACTTTTCTATTTAATGGTCTGAGATACAAAATCAATGAGGGAAGACTGATGAGTCTCAGATGGAAGGAGGGAGGAAGAGATTAACCAAAGGACATATGTGCATATATGCATAACCCATGGACACAATAGTGCAAATAGTGTGTTGAAGGCCTGGGGAGTGGGTGGGAATGGGGAGGAGGGAGTTGATGGTGAGGGGGGACATCTGTAATACTTTCAACAATAAAGATAAATTTTAAAAAATCAACAAGGGAAGTCAGAGTTTAGGCACAATTGGGGTTTTTTCTTTTTAAAAAAATTTTATTGATTTTAGAAACATCAATTTGTTTTTCCACTTATTTATGCATTCATTGGTTGCTTGTAAGTGCTCTGACCAGGGATCAAACCCACAACCTTAGTATATAGGGACAATGCTCTAACCAACTGACCTACCTGCCCAGGGTGGCACAATTGTAAATCATCCCAGTCACTAAGTCATTGATGTAATAAGTAGAATTTGAGTTAGATCTAGGCCACTGGTATAACGTAGCACAGTGCTAAAGAATTTAAACACCCCTTGAGCAGGATAGTAAAGGTAGGGTGCTGTCCCTACCACCAAGCAGTGGCAGACTGCTGTTTAGAGCCAAAATGAGCTGGCCAGATCAATGGCCATGTTCTCCTAAGGTAAGAAATGATTACAAAACCTTCCAATATTTACTAACCCCAACATGAAGTGCACTTGCACAGACTGATTTACTTTTTTGTCATCCCTAATTAATTCCAGAACTCCATTTTTGAGATTTGCCAAATAGACTTGTTAAGGCAGACAGCAGGAACAAACCCCTACTCCCAGTTCCTCCAGGTCTTCATTGTGAATGCACACACTATCCCTGGAATTCCAGGCTTGGTTGTATTTTTAATCCTGGGAGAAAGAGTTGGGACTCTAGAGGCTCCCGATTTGGCATGTCCAGTAGTCAGTTTCCTATGCTTGCATGTGATTCGCCCAGTCAAGAAAGCCTACTCCTTTCTCCAAATCATAATAAATCCATCTTGGTGCCCGGCCAGCATGACTCAGTGATCGAGCGTTGACCAGTCAGGGCACATGCCCGGGTTGTGGGCTCCATCCCCAGTAGGGGGCATGCAGGAGGCAGCTGATCAATGATTCTCTCATTGATGTTTCTATCTCTCCCTCTCCCTCTCTCTGAAATTAATAAAAACATTATATATATATATTTTTTTTAATATATATTTATTTCAGAGAGAGGGAGAGAGAGAGATAGAAACATCAATGATGAGTCATTGATCGGCTGCCTCCTGCAGGCCCTCAACTGGGGATCGAGCTCGCAACCCGGGCATGTGCCCTGACCAGGAATTGAACCCTGATCACCTGGATCCTAGGTCGATGCTCAACCACTGAGCCACGCCCAGCCGGGCAAAACATATTTTATAAGTAAAATAAATAAATTCATCTTGGTAACACCCTCAAGAAGGGCTCAGATCTCCCTGGGGAAGGGCACTGGTCCCCCGTGTCTGCCCTGCAACATGGTATAATCTGGCAGTTTTGAACAATCCCTTCATCTCCTCCAAGCACCATGATACTTAAAATAGATCTTTCATTAGATTCTGATTTCTTGGAGTTAATATTTCTCCTAAGCCTGCCTTTGAAAACAGCGCCTGAAGTTCTTGAATACTACCTGTGTCCAGAATGCCTAGCCATAGCAAGAGTGCCTGGTCCACCTGATAGACTCTGCCTCAGCCTTAGCTCTTGCTTGCAGAGCCTCAAGGTCACACAGAGGTGAGAGCTTAGGAACTCCTCAGTTCTTTCCTGGGCATGCTTACAACCTTGCACATGCACCTACATCTGTCCTTCCAGATTCCCAGGAATATGTCATGTTTTTAAAATTTTTTATGTATTGATTTGAGAGAGAAACATCGATTTGTTGTTCCACCTGTTTTTACATTCATCAGTTTTCTTAAATGTGCCCTGATGGGGTGGAACCCTAAACTTTAGCTTAGCAGGACAATGCTCTAACCAACTACCCTACCCAGCCAGGGCTTTAGAACTTTGCAAAGCCCCTTCTGGATATTTCATTCCCTAGGTTTTACTTTCATTTTTATCGGTCAACTTCTTGTTTACTATGACTCTTATCACCACCTCAGGCAACAGTGGTGTTAAACAATGACCACCAACTGTTTTGAAATTGCTATGAAAACAGAGTTCTGAGTCAGGTCAAAGACAAGCCCTGTAAGGGGGAACGTCTAGGGAAATGCCATACAGGTCAAGAATGACAATTCTCTGGGTCTCACACCCATTAGGATGGCTACTAATAAGAAAATAACAAGTATTGGTGAGGATGTGAGAAATTGGAACCCTTGTGAACTATTGGTAGGAATATAAAATGGTACAGCTGCTAAGGAAAAGAATATGGCATTTTCCCCAAAAATTAAAAAACAGAATTACTGCCCGGCTGGTGTGGCTCAGTGCTTGAGTGTCAACCCATGAACCAAGAGGTACCTAGTTAGATTCGACATCAGGGCACATGCCCAGGCTGCGGAATTGATCCCCAGTAAGGGGCATGCAGGAGGCAGCCAATCAGTGTTTCCATCTCTCTATCCTTCTCCCTTCTCTTTCTAAAATCAATAAAAACATTTTAAAAAATTACTATATAATCCAGCAATTCCATTTCTGGGTACATATCCAAAAGAATTGATTTTGCACATCCATGTTCATAGCAGCGTTATTCACAGTAGCCAAAAGGTGGAAGCAATCCAAGTGTCCATCAGTGAGTGAACTGATAAGCAAAATATGATATATACAAAATAAAAATACAAAACAAAAGGAAAATAAATGTGGTATAACATACAAGCAATGTTCTCTAGCCTTTAAGAGGAAGGAAATTCCAATTTAAAAAATCAAAAGAAAGGAAATTCCAACACATGCTGCAACACAGATTAACCTTGAAGACATTTTGCTAATTGAAATAAGCCAGTCATGCCCCAGCCAATTTGGCTCAGGGGTTAGAGCATCGGCCCATGGACTGAAGGGTCTGGGGTTCAATTCTGGCCAAGGGTACATACCTTGGTTGCAGGCTCCATCCCTGGTCCAATTTGGGACACATGCAGGAGGCAACCAATCGATATGTCTCTTTCACATCTCTCCCCCCCCTCTCTCTCTTCCACTCTCTCTGAAGAGCAATGGAAAAAATATCTTCAGGTGAGGATTAAAAAAAAAAAAGAAGCCAGTGACAAAAAGACAAATACTGTATGTTTCCATGTATATGAGGTATCTAGAGATACATTCATAAAAACAGAAAGTAGAATGGTGGTTGCCAGGAGCTAGGGGAGGAGGAAATGGGGAGGTGGTTTTTAATGGGTAGAGAGTTTTGCAAGATGAAAAAGTTCTAGAGATTGATTGTAGAACAATGTGGATATCTTTAAACACTACTGAGCTGTACACTTAAAAATACTTAAGATGGTAAATTGTGCCCAGCCAGCATGACTCAGCAGTTGAGCATCGACCTATGATCCAGGTGATCTCTGTTCGATTCCTGGTGAGTGCACATGCCTGAGTTGTGGGCTCGATCCCCAGCAGGGGGCATGCAAGAGGCAGCCAATCAATGACTCTCTCATCATTGATGTTTCTATCTCTCTCTCTCCCTCTTCCTTACTCTCTCTGAAATCAATAAAGATATATATATAAAAAAAAAGTACATGAACATTGCCCTGGCTGGCATGGCTCAGTGGTTAGAGTGTCAACCTGCAGATTTTTGGGTCTCAGGTTCAATTCCGGTCAAGGGCACGTGCCTGGGTTGCAGGTTCATCCCCCTGCCCCAGTCAGAGCACATGCAGGAGGCAACCAATCGATGTGTCTCTGTCACATCAATGTTTCTCTCTCTCTCCCCCTCCCTCCCTTCCATTCTCTCTAAAAATCAATGAAAAAATATCCTCAGGTGAGGACTAACAACAACAACAAAAAGTACACAAACACCTATGATGTGCCTGGCATTCTGGTTAATCGTATACCCAGTGCCTGCAAACAATGGGTGCTCCTCTTCTTTCCCTCTCAGCAACATTGGGCAGCAACATTTGACTCCCTTTTTATTTACTTAAAAAATTATGTGTGTGTGTGTGTGTGTGTATATATATATATATATATTTCAGAGAGAAGAAGGAAGAGGGACAGAAAGATAGAAACATTAATGATGAGAGAGAGTCATTGATCAGCTGCCTTCTGCATGCCCCCTGCTGGGGGTTGAGCCCGAAACTCGGGCATACGCCCTGACTGGGAATTGAACCTCAATCTCCTGGATCATATATGGGTCGATGATCAACCGCTGAG